TGTCCGAGGTTGTAATGGCAAAGGCTCCTCTCTTCCCATTGTTCAGTTGTTTGTTCCGTGAAATTTCTCCACAAGTTACTTGTAATTCCAGATTGGTCCTGGGCGGAGGTCAGTGTGACTTTCATTCACTCCTTTTCCATCTTGCCCACCCTCGGAATTCAATTTTAAAAAAGAAAGAAAAGAGGCGATTAGCCTTAGAATTGATTTCCATTATTTAAAAAAAAGCAATGCACACACACAAACTAGTGGCTTCATCACCCTCTATGAAGCCCTTCCTGACTCTGCTGTGTACATTTGACCACTTCCTTCTTGTGTTGCCATTGCCCTCCACTGAAATCATTACTGAGACATATGGTACCTTTCTTTATATATTTATGTCTGTTCCTTCTACTGGACCATAAAGCCTGTGATCCCAGTGGGGTGGGGAGAGAGCTTTCTGCTACTGAAACATTTTTTTTCTGAGTTAAAATGCATTACTATTTATTACTCAGGTTGTCATAGATTGAAGTTTTTATTTTATTGTGATAACACTTTTATTTTACTGTGATAATCTACACACTTAACAGATTTTGAAGTGTACAATACAGTTTTGTTAACTTTAGGCACACTATTGTGCATCAGACCTCTATAACTTGCCTTGCATAATTAAAACTTTATACCCATTGAGTAGCAACTCCCTATTACTCCCTGCCCACATCCCCAATCTTTTTTGACGACTTCATTTTCTAGTCCCACATGATGTTTTAAGCTCATATTGTATTTTTCCTGCTCCTGCCCTTGATTCAAACATTTCTTTAAGGAACACTAATTTCTTTTATTTGCAAATGGTATTTAGAAATCAAGTCCTGGCTGGTGTGGCTCAGTTGGAGCATTGTCCTATACACCAAAAGGTTGGGAGTTCGATGCCTGGTCAGGGCACATACCTAAGTTGTAGATTCAATTCCCTGTCATTGCACATATGGGAGGCTACTAACTGATGTTTCTCCCATCGATATTTCTCTCTCTCCCTGCAATTCCTCTCTCTCTAAAGACAATAAGTGTGTTTTTTTTTAATTAAAAAAATCAAGATCTGGGTGCTAGTTGTACTCATTGCTGCTGGGCTGAAGTTGGTTCTCGGTCTTAGTTGACAGACCTAGGAAATACAAATCCAAGCTATCAGTATGTAAACTCAGTTTGATTCCAGCCAATACCACAAGGGTCATTCTAACTTCTCCCCTTTCCTTATTTGTAACTCTTTTCTCCAGTGATGAGAAACCTGGTTCTCATTACCCTCAGTATGTTTACTTATTTGCTCAGTCCTAGAATACATTTAAAGTAGTTTCAGAATTGCTAACTCATACTCCTGGGAAAAACAAACTGACTAACTTCAGTAATATGTTTGCGTGCAGTTCTTTTTGTCTTTAGCCTTGGAGTATATAGTCAAAAAACTATTTCCAAAGGTGTTCTTTTTCCCCTTTTTCTCCCATTTTAGTGTGGTTGTGTCATTTATATGTAATATATTTAGTTAAGTTTTTGTTTGCATTCCATTTGGGTCCTTCCTCTCTAATCATGACTGATTTTGATTAATTTTCAATTCTGTGAAACTGGTATGGTTCTCCTCAAGATGAAGTTCTCTGAGGATGTTACTTAGTGGGTTAATACTCTAAATAAAAGAATGATATAACAGTGTTCTCAAGATATTTTTCATACATAACTTCTTTCCTAAAATGAAATTTTTGAAGTCCTCTGTAAATGCATACCAGTAGAAAGAACAAATGGCAACATTGTTATGTGACCTGTTCTTTTGTCTACACAAATTAATGTCTGTATACATAGTTTTTATATACTATATGTACTGAGTTTTTTTTCATTTTTTATTGAGGTATAATTCAAATAACAAAATTCACTGTAGTGTAAAAAAGAGTGGTTTTTAGTATATTCACTATGACGTGCAACTGTCACTACTAATTCTAGAACATTTCTATCACTCCAATAAAAAACCTCAAACCTATTAGCAGTCAGCCCCAAAACATACTGTTTTGCACTTTGCCCTTTTTATTTAATATATTGTGAGTATTTTTTCACCCAGTTAAATATTCATCTAAAACACAATTACTGTGCAGTATCCCAGACCACCATGTTTGGACACTCAGGTAGTTTCCCCAACAACCCCTTGATTTTCTTTTAGCACCAATCAGGGTGCATGTTAAACTGGGCCTGCGTACTTATTTTTGTCTATCAGAGAATAATTTACCAAAGATCTTAATTAGATTCCAGTTTATTGGTATATTATCAAGTTAATGTACCAGTTTTAAATGATTCAAGTAGTTAGGGTATTTTTTTACCCTATATTTCACAGGAGGGAAAGCTCAGCAACTGCTTTTGTGTGTCAGTTTTCTGTGATGAAACTCAGGTTTTATTAACTTTATATTTTCAAAAAAATATGTAGCCTTGACCTCAGGTTTACAGATTTGGTAAGACCCTGTCAACCGATATCAACTGGTATCCAGGCCAAATACCGATGGTAATTAATAATGATGATTAACCTATTGTGTGTGATGTAATTCACTGGTTGACAAAAGTACTTTCTTATTTAATCCTCACAAATATTTTATGAGGCAATTAGTATTATTTCCCTTTAAAATATGTGGAATTTAGGACTCGGAGAACTTACATAACTTGCCTTTGGAGTCAGGTAGGAGGTGACAGAGCAAGATTTCCACAGTAGCTTTACTTACTCTAATTCCAGGACTCTGTACATCATAATTATGGTCTGTCAGGCCTTAGACTCAGTAACTGAGCAGCACGTGGAGATGGGTTGTTATTCCCTCTTACCTCCCCTAGTGGGAAAGCCCATGAAGATTTGCCATAGAGATCTGTCTACCATCTGATCCTTAATTCCAGACGCTTGGTTTGCCTCTTTAAGATTTTGACCTGCAATTCATTCAGCTGCCACCAGATGGAAGGAATACTCTGTTAAGGAAAACAAAACAAGCATTAAAATGGCTAAAGTTTACTAGTGTGGTCAGTAATTAATGGTTCCCAATTGAGGGGATTATTTCTGTAGGTGGTGCCCTCTGTCTTCATAGGATCTCTGTGCCTGTTATCTCTTAGTTACTGACTTTGCAGTATTCCTTTTTTTAGTGCTGCCTTTTGTCCCAAGATGATTTCTAATATTTTTGACCCTCTTTTGGGGAGCTAAGAGGCCTTTCTGCATCTTCTGCTACTGCCCCACCGCTGGAGTACTTCAGTGACAGGTTTTCTTGCTTTGTTTCTACATGCAATCTACTTTTCATAATTCAGCCAGGTTAATGTTTAAAAAATGCCGCTTTAAAAAAAAAAACAAAAACCAAAAACCACTTTTCAGCTGTTTTCCAGAAACTTTACTCTCCATTGTCTAAGGATTAGTCTGGCTTTTAAGGCACCCCATAGTCTTGCCCTGTCTTAACTTATCTGTTTAAAATACATAAGGCCTTACCTTGGTTCCTGCTATCAACATATCCAATTCATCTTTAGCACCTAATTCAACCCCTAACTTCTCTATTCATTCAGTCAAAATCAACAAATATGTTTGAATGTGTTACCAGGTGCCAAGCACTGTTTTAGGCCCTAAGAATTCATAACGGAATAAGGCAAAGTCCCAGTTCTCATGGAAATTACATTCTAGTTGGGAGTGTCAGACCCCCCTTCCCAACAAAGCACCCCCATAATCCCCACAAAGCACTGCCTCCTCCAACAGCAGAACTTTTTAAAAAATAAAGTATGATTGTAGAAACGCTTCCTATGATATTTTGCATTCAACTAGAACTGATACATAAAATTGAATGTTGCTCTTCCAGGTGACGAGCCCTTTGAAGCTATGACACTTACTCTGATGCTGTAGGAGTTATTCAAAACAGATAGCGCTTTCCTTTAGGAACATTCTCCAGAGCCTATAGTATATCACCTAAGAGTCCTCAGCCTGGGAGATGTTCATTCTTTGAGGATACATTGGATTTTTTAAAACAGCTTCTAGTGTCCCAGCCTGGGAAATTACCTACATGAGAATGTGTGACAGAAAGAAGGACACTGGTTTTTTGACATGGCTCAGAAATGGGCTCTTGAAAATGTAGCCCAAGAGAAATCCAGAGACAACTTGAACAGGTGACAAGCAGCATTCAAATAAGGTCACAGGATGCCCTGAGGGGTAGCACTCCTTTGAAAGTATTGGTTCTGATAGTTTGGTCTGAAGACATTAATTTCAGTATTTAGAATCATACCTAGTAACTTAGTGCCTTGTGAATTCTCAGTGTTTTTTAAATCTGTTTTTGGTATTCTCTCAATTGTAAGTCCCTTAGGAATAAAAAATTTTGTTTTGTTTTTGTATCACCCACAGTGCCATCTTTGCATATAATAAATGATCAGTATTAATAAGTTGATTGCTTGATGAGGCAGTAATAAAGGTAGTAAAGCATTAGTTGATACTGTTAATGTCAACATACACTGTAATAATTTCCTAACTCTTTATTGACATCAATTGACTTAAAATACAGGCTGGACCAAAGTAGGTTTATAGTCGTGAGTACAGGAAACTCAGAGTTAATAAAGCTTTTGTAATAATCATAACCAAATGTTTTTTTTCCATATGAACAACTGTAAACCTACTTTTGCCCTCCCCTGTATACACTTAACTTTATGTCATTATACTTTATAATGATTTTGCAAATGTAATTGGCATTTAAAGTACAGTACCATTAGGTACTTGTATTGTGTTGTATGGTCATGTTTCTTGCCTAAACAAAGAATAGCAAGAGGTTCTCATAAAGTAAGAACTTTTCTGCCTTGGTAGAGCAAAAGTTGGTATTAATATGAATTAGTCATTTGTTTTTGGGTTATTTCCTTATAACTCCAGAATAGAGACTTAATTACATTCTGATATTGGAAGGGTTTAGGACTGACTGTAAACTATATGGAGTAGTTTCCTATTTTAGTTTAGAAAGTTAAGTGAAAACGTTAACGCTTTTCTCCATTTTTCCCTCTAGAACCTTTGTTTCATTTTGCCACAATTTTTGTACCAGTTCTTCTGCGGATTCTCACAACAGGTTTGTTTCCTTAGTTATTTCTTAAAATGTAGTTTACATTTGCTATTAATAACTTACCTTTTTATAATATTTATTGGATTGTAGATATTAGAGAGGTATGACCAAAGTAAAGGGAGGTTTGTGTTTTGTTGGATTTTTTTTTTTTTTTGGTTCAACAGTTGATCTTCTTGTCTTGCATTTTGACAATAGCAAATGTTTGTGTTTTTGCTTTAGCAGTGTTCTTATTATTACTTCATTTTAAAAGTTATTTAGTATACCTGGTTGGAATGGAGATAAGCTTTAAAAGAATATTCTGATTTTTTTCTTTGTATTAACGTATACAGTGTTTTCCAATAATTCTGAAATGTTATAATTTAATATTTTCACATAAAATCTCACACCTTTGCAGTTTCTCAGGTTGATTTTCTAGAAAAATATTAACCTTTAAGCTGGCCATAAAGCTGTAATTCTTGTATAAAACCTTGGATTATTTGAACAACTCTGCATTTTTTGCCCCCTGTTGTTTTCTTTTATTTTTTTAAATCATCACCCAAGGATATATTTATCGATTTTAGAGAAAAACATTGATGAGAGGGAAAAATTGATCAGTTGCCTCCCAAACACACCCCAACTGGGGATTGAACCCATACCCTAGGTATGTGCCCTGACCGGGAACTGAACCCCTGACCTTTTGGTATATAGGATGATGTTCTAACCAACTGAGCCACTTGGTCAGGGTTGCCCTTTATTGTTTTCTGAATATTTATTACATAAAGAATATGCTGTATATTAACTTGATATTTAAGAGGTGGGATGAGCGTGCACATTTCTCCATTTTAACAACTGAAATGGATTTTGCATTGCTTCTAGTGCAGGTACAGCTAAATATAGGAACTATAATGCTCAATGACTCAGAAATTTTCGTAGTTAATCTGTGAGCAGTTCATTGATATCGCCAAGATGAGCTACTGGTAACGTTACCATAGGTGTTACAGATTCAGCTTCTAAATTTCAAGATATGCTTAATTCCTCATGGTAGAAGTGATTTTTTTCTAATTTCTTGGCAGTATTTTTAAGTGAATGCATTCTTCCCAATGGGAGGTGACTTCTCTCTTTCCCTTGAACTTGCCTCTTGACCATTTGGTATGCTCTCCCTTACATCAGTGCCACGTCATCAGCCACACGATGCCAGTTGAGCAGTTCACTTTACAAATTAATCATCTAGCTGTAGGAAGTGCGGTCAGCCTTCTTGTATTCAAAACTAACAGCATTAGCTACAAAGAGTTTTATGAATTCTGATGAGCTGCTTTTCTTGCACATTCAGATTACTGTTGATCAAACTGTTTTAATTCCTTGCTTAGATGAATACAAGTACTAAAAAGATGTTTCAAATATTGTAGGAAAATGCTAAAGGAAAAGAGGCTTAATCTGGTTAAAACATTGTTTTTATTTTGAAAGGAGTCTGTGGCTTAGTTATCCTTTTAAAAGATGTTTACCAAGCACAAATTGTATGAAGAAAGGAAGGACTTATTCCTAATAAAACCAGCTGAGATTCAGACCATGGGCTGCCTGGGGTCTGCTTAGGTCACCTTAACTGCTTAGGTTTCCATAGGAATTGGTGTTTGGCTTCCCCAGTTGCTCAATTAGTATGTTCATTCATTTAACAAATGTTTCCTTTGTGCCTACCATGTGCCAGGCTAAGTGCTGGGGATGCAACAGTGATCAAAAAGCCTTGCCTCTATGGAGCTCGCAATGTAGTGCTAGGGAAAAGACAGACAGCAATCAGATAAATATATTGTTGGGTGCCAATAAGTGCTCTGAAGGAGGAAAAAGTATAGTATATTAATTCAGTATGACTGGGGAAGAGGGTCACTATTTTACAGAAGCTGATTTGGAAAGTTCTCTCTGATGAGGTATTTGGACAGAGATATTAAGGAGATGAGGGAGCTATGCAGATGTCTTAGGGCCTATGACTTAGGGGAAAATTATATCAGGTAAAAGGAAGGTCTGTGAGATGGTGACTTCATGTACAATATCATTAGTTCTGAATTTGGCCTGGTGCTTCTGCTGAGTGCAGCAACCTTTATTGCAGATATTGTTCGAGTACTTACAGGTAGTCAGTCGGCCTTTTTCATCTTAGGTCCGTATCAGGTGTTCTCTTCAATCCTGAACTTGGAGACCGAGCTATGGAAAATGTGAAAATGTGACCAAATCCTGATTCTTTAAGCAAAAAGCAGCTCTTAATTTAGCAAAGCTAGAATAGTACTGATCTTTTTTCTTCATGAAAAAAAAAAATTTGTAACAGGTTTAAGAAACAGTATTGTCAGCTAAACCTGTTGTTTGTTTTGAGAACATTCTATCTTTCCTAATTATGCATCTAAGAATTACAATTCTCTTTCATGTAACCTCAGAGTACCATAGTGGAACAAAAGTAGATTGATGCTTCTTTTGTTTGAATGAAATTCAAGACAAATTACACACCAATCAGTCTGAGTTATTTTTTTTCCATTTTCTCATTAGTGAAAATGGGTAGTTTCTGATGAAGATATAGTGTTACATGCCAGCAGGCTAGTCCTTTCCCTTGAGAATTAAAAGGAATGTAACACTTTTTTGGGAGTACTTTTTAATTCCATAGAATATTTTTGCTGAGTTAAAATCTTTGTACATGGGAAGTATCTCCATGTTCCATGTAAAGCCATCTTTTTAACTTCATTAAGAATTTTGCATGCACATTATCTCACTTTATTTCTACTATAGGCCATAATCATCCCTTCCTCTGGGTTCCCCCAGCTCTTTGTACACTCAAGAGTCTGCCTTCTCCTCTCTGATTTGTGTGCCTTGGCAGACAAGGGCATGAATCTTCTCTGTCCCCAGTACTTATCACTGAATAAGCACTCAGTAAATGTTTTTGAAGTCAACTAATGAAAAAACTAAGGGTCTATTCAAGTTTTTCTCAACCTTTTTGAGACAGCTCTCATCATGATAGTAAGTGTATCTTTAGTAGCCATTGTTTGAAAATGCATAATTTTGTTAATTTATGTCACATTTAAATGCATTTTATTAATCAAATAGGATTTATATGTGGGAAAATACAGACAAATATGGGATATTATTTATTTAGACCACCAGCAATGGTTCCATGACAACACTTAGCACTGTGTAGGAAAATACTGAACTCAGTAAGTATTTTCATCAAAATGATGTTCAGAGAATACCCTGATTTTTTTCCATGAAGAAAAATTTTAAATATCAGATCAGTCTTGCGCAAATATATTATAGCTTCCAATCTCTACTCATTCATTCATTCAATATTGAATGCTTTTTGTATGCTGAGTTCTAAGAGCTCAACGTTTTCAAAGCCCTCTAGCCAAACAACACCAGGAACACACTTGTAGTTGATCAAATTCTGTTTCTTACTCGATGCAGTGAGAAAGGGTATGCACCATGAGAAAGAGTGGGGCCTCTCAGGAAGAGAGTGTTAGAAAAGTCTTAATAAGATTTGGATTAAGTCGGGTAATTTGGAGAGGGATTTAAGAAATAGGGCCTTGCTCTAGATGAGGTGCTGTTAGTGAGCAGGGGTAATTTTATGAATGGGTGTTTCATATATCTTATCCAGAAGGAACAAAGACTAGAAGGAGGCTTATGCTATCATTGGTCAAGAAGCAATAGTCACTCATATTAGCCAGAATGGGGATGTTGGTCATTATTTATGATTTGGACGGTATTCATACTCTGTCAGATGTGATTGTGGGGTGGTTTTATTTTTTGTTTTGATTCATCACAGTCACAGAATGTCCTTATCTTATGTTGCAGTTCTGTGAAATTGTGTGTGTTTGACAGGAGAACACCCCTGACTAGCTGTGAGTGCTAGGCCAGCTCCATGATGTCAGCGGCTGCTTTGCTCTTTCTCAAGCTACAGCTGTCAAAAAATAAATAAAAATCCCCGCCCTCATAGAGCTTAAATCCTAGTGTGAGGAAATAGTAAACATAATAAATTTATAAGTTAGTAGGTGATTGGTACTATAGGGGAAAAAAAAAACAGGATAAAGCGGAGAAATATGTCTGTGAGAGACGGGGGGTGGCAAGTTAAATCAAGGATGGTCTCCCTGAGAAGGTGAGATTTGAAGGAAGTGAGGGAGGACTGTCTACAGGAAAAAATGTTCCAGATGGGCAACAGCCAGTTCAAAGGAAGTCTTAAGTCAGGGATGTGCCTGACATGTTAGAAGTGCAGTGAAGAAGCCACTGCTGCTGGAGTAGAATGAGCCAAGGAGCAGGAAAGATGAGAAATGAGGTCAGACAGGTAGGAGAAGCCAGATCAAGAGGGACTTTATGGCCACCCCAGAAATGTTCTCTTTTTACATTCAGAACTTGGAAAAAAGTGATGACTTGATTTGACTTATTTTCTAATAGATCTACTCAGGGCTTAGAATAGACTTTGGGTGAAAGGCCGAAGCAGGGAACCCATTTAGGAGGCTTGTAGGTTGGTAATAGTGGAGGTGCTCACTAGTTCTGAATATATTTGAAGACAGAGCCAATAAACACTTCTTAATTGATTGGATGTGAGGTATGAAAAAGAATAGTCAAAAGTGAATCCAAGATTCTGGTTCTTATTGATCAGAAAGATTTAGTTGCCCTTGCCTGAGAAGGGGAAGACTTCAGGAGGAAAAGGTTTGAGGTGAGAACAGATCAGGTATCCAGTTCTGAGCATAAGTTTGAAATATAATAGACACCCAAGAACAGATGTCAAGTCGGTAATTGGATATACGGAGACAGGTCTGGCTGGAGCTAGATATTTGGGAATTTGCAGTGAATGGCTAATATTAAAATCACAGAACTGAACATGGTCACCTAGAGAATGAGTATAAATAAAAGTTCCAAACACTGAGTTCTGCAACATTCCAACAAAGGGCTTGGGGAAAATAGGAGAATGGGAGGGAATAGTTAGTGAGGTAGGAAGAAAATCACGCATCTGTCTTGTTTTAGCTTGTGTTTTTTCAAACACCCAAATATCATCTTGATGATTGTTACAGTACATTTCTTTCTCCTTTGTTGTCATTTCAGCCACTATATGATGCTGCTTACCTTACAATGTACAATATCTGCTTCACATCCTTGCCCATCCTGGCCTATAGTCTACTGGAACAACATATCAACATTGACACTCTGACCTCAGATCCCCGGTTGTATATGTAAGTTGAATATTACAGTTAAAACTCCTCAGACTTACAAAGTTGTGGTTTTCACTTCAGATGAAGGTGAGAAGGACACACACTCCTCACCTAGTTTGATCACATGGTTCTGTTCTATTCAATAGGAAGATGATATACTCATATTTCCTAGGTATAGGTCCTTTACTTGAATATGTATGAACCATTTAGTTCAAAATTATTAATTCCTAAAACTTGAAACTACATTGTCATAGAGTTATGGAGTCTTAGAGGAAGACAGTATTTTAGCTACCAAAAAAAAGCCTCACACAAAGAGCTGTGTTAGTTTAGAATATTGATTCCTACCTATAATGGATTGAACTGATGATTCTATGTTAGGCTTTCTCTTATAAAATGCCCCTGAAGCATAGCCTCTCTCCCTTTGTTATCCCCATTCTAAAAACTGTTTTGTTGAAGGGAATAATTCATCAAGCCATTAAATTCATTTTGTGTCCATTGGAAATGCATGCATTTCTGTATGGATGAGTGGAGTTGGCACTAGCGCCAGTTGCTTAACCTTTGCTCTGATTGAATTTTTGTAAGTAAAAATAAGGATAAAGATGTTAATTTGCCGCAGATTATAAGCATTGCTAAATAGTGGACAGCAAGTGCAGAAGAAAGACTTGGGTGGTTGACATGTATGAAGGAAAGGTGTGCAAATTAAGGAATTTCTTTAACCAGTATGACTCATAAAATTCACATTTAGTAATTGTTAGACTTAACTAGATTTATAAAGTTTATCATCATCACTTTTAAAGGAAATGTTTAAACATGCACAGAAGTAGCAAAAATCCTATTAATACAGTGAATGTCCCTGTTCTCACAACTCAGCTTCACCAATTATCAATTCTGAACCATTTCCCTTTCATTAATAACCCTGTCTACTCTATCACAGGCCAGACTTATTTTCAAGTAAATATCAAACGTTGTATAAAACAGTTATTTCAGTATGTACCTCTTAAAGATAAGGACTTAAAAAATAACAGTACCTATCATAGCTTAAAATTTTACAAGTCCATAATATCAAATATTCAGTCAATGTTCCAATTTCTCCAACTGACTCATTTCTTTGAATAGCATTCTTATTTGATTCAGGATGTAAGGTCCACATATTGCAATTGGTTAATATGCTTCTTGAGGTTAACCTGGCAATTTTTATTGATGAAACTGGATCATTTAACTTGTATAGTTTCCTCTGATCTAGAGTTTGCCCATTGCATTGATGGCATTGTTTAACATGTTCTTTCTTTCTCTACATTTGTTGTAAATGGATAGTCATAGGTAGAGGGGAATCATAGAAACCTTGGTAGAAATCTTACAGAGCACCATCTCCCATACTCTCATTTTTTTTAAGGTTTTATTTTTATTTATTTTTAGAGAGAAGTGAAGGGAAGGAGAAAGAGAAGGAAAGAAACATCAGTGTGTGACAGAAACATCAATCGGTTGCCTCTCCCATGCCCCCAAATGGGGACCTGGCCCGCAACCCAGGTATGTGCCCTGACTGGGAATCGAAGCAAGCAACCCTTTCATTCACAGGCCGATGTCCAATCCACTGAGCCACACCAGCCAGGGCTCTCATTTAATTTTTAAATGAGTAACCAGGATGCAGAAATGAGTTGCCTGAGGACACAGGTATCACTAGAGGCCAAACCAAGCTCAGAATTCAGTCCTCCTGATGACTAGCCTTGTGCTCTTACCAGGAGGCCGGTGGTTTTCAAACTGAGGCAACAGTGTACTGTGTCCTCTAACAGCAAAAGTGAAGGCCAATAGTGCTATTGCTCTAGTTGAAGTGGGGTTGGGCGGCAATAAGCAGAATCCCTCCCACTCAGTCCCAGCAAGAGCTCAAGCTAATTGCCTGAGTTCCGGTCCTGGCTCTGCAACCCACTAACTATGTGACCTTGCACAGGTTACTTAACTGAGATGTGCCTCAATTTCATCTTCGGTAAAATCTGGGTAACAACAGCACCTAATCCACAATGTTTTTATGAGGATTAAACAAGTGACTACACATAAAAGAACTTAAAAAACAGCGTCTGGCCCTGGCTGGTGTGGCTCAGTGCATTGAGTGCTGGTCGCCAGTTCGATTCCTGGTCAGAGCACATGCCTGGGTTGTGAGCCAAGTCCCTGGTTGGGAGCGTGTGAGAGGCAACTGACCGATGTATCTCTTGCACACTGATGTTTCTCTCCCTCTCGTTCTCCCTTCCTCCCCCTCTCTCTAAAAAGTAAATAAATTAAATGAATGAACAAATAAAAGAATTGTGAAAATCTCTTTGGAAAAAAAAAACAGTGCCTGGCATATAGTAAGTTTTTATTTATTTTTAATTAATTAATTAATTTTTTTCAAATACATTTGTCTCTGCCTACCCCCCACCACTTTCCTTTGCCCTCTCTCTCCCTCTCTCCCTCCCTCCCTCAACTGTTCCCCTTTGGTTTTGTCCATGAGTCCTTGCTATATGTTCCTTGACTTTCCCCTTCCCTTCCTTTTCCCCTGCCCCCCTTCCCTCCTTAAGTTTTTAATAGATGGTAGCTATTGATCTTCTCTTATTCTAACACCCTTTTCCACTTCAGGGCTGTATTGAGCACTTCTGAACATTAAGAATGTTGAAAACGTGAAGAAAACTGTTGAGTACAAATTATTGTAAGGGTTTTCGTGAAGTTTTACTTACTGAATAGCAAGTGTAGGTCTTCAACTACTAAACAATTTTGGATAGAGGATATACTTGCCACATGTGATGCAGAAATGAAAGCCATGGCAAACCTGTTGCCCAGCCCAAACTTCAGTTTCCCTTCTTGCCTGCTCTGATGAGACCCTGCTGTCAGCCTGTCACTGTAGATTGCGCCACTGCTCCGTGTGTTCTTTTGTAAATATGAAATCCTCGTCTTCGTATGTGGCTCTCTCTGCAGTTGCATTGCATATTTTATGTTTCACTATCAGGGATTTACTGACTTAAGCATTTTCCATACATTTTGTCATGAAACAAGGAAAACATAATTAGATGGTTTAATATTTTCAAAAGAAATGATAAAAGTAAACTAGTTCTTTAATAGAAGGGAGAGGCATGGTGTGTTTCTTCTACAGCTTTAAAAGGCAAAAGAAAGGTCCTAGTACAGTAGCTGCCCCCCGTCCTATGGAGGTGCTCAGGCTTGCGCTGCTGGTCAGCTGCTCCCCAGATCTATATTCTCTCTGATGTTCTCGTGCATGTTGGCTGCCATATTCTGTTCCTAGCAACTTAGCCTTTTATCTGAGTGCAGCTGGAAAGCCATGATGCTCCTGCCCATCTTCCCACAGTATGTAGCGTAACTGCCAGAGAAGGTCTGGAAACACAGGAACCACTTTCTGCCTCGGCCCAAGACAGTGACTCTCAAAGCCCCAGTGGCTGACAGTTGCTGGGCAGTTCCTGCAAGGATCTTTAAGGAGGTGCCTCCTCTGTGGCTCCCAGGTGCCTTAGGAATCCAGCTCAATGACTATGGGGAGAGCTCATTTCTGGGAAGCAGCTACCTCTTTTCTCCTGCAATCTTTCTAAGGCAAACAGCAGTGTGTTGCTTTATGCATCCCCTCAACTTCATCTGAACATACCTGGAAATCTTACTAAGTAAAAGTTGTGTTCTTACCACCATTTCAGGAAAGCCCACAGTACTCAGTACCAGTTGAATGAGGATCAGTTGCACTTATATTAAAAGGGTGTTTCTTATTCCATACAGCCCAGTGACATTCTTGGTAGTACTGAGGACTGGCATGCTGTTTTCAAGGCATTAGATACCTTTTGATAAATGTTAGGAGTGGTTTGAAATAGAGTCCAATAAAAACCTATGCACAAATCCATCTTCTTTCTGTAGTTCTGCTTCATTAGAATTGGTAGCCTCATTTAATATTCTGGCTTGAACTGACAAGACTGTGTTACTTTTGACAGATTTTAAACTTTTGATCTGTCCACCTCCCATTCATCAAAGCATGGCTGTCCAGCTTCAAACATGTTGTTTGACTCAATTGAAAGATATAAAGGGCATCCCAAGACCAAACAAGGTTAAATTCCCAGGAAGAAATATGATTAAAAGAAATACTTTAACAACTATAGTTGGAAAACAAAGGTATCTTGGTTGAGAGCATGTGATCTGAAGTCGAGTAAATCTACGATTCTATACTAGCTCTGTTCCTCACTAAATGAGTGAACCCCAGTGTGCTGCTACACTGGTGATTCCCAAATGGTATAATCACCTGGGGAGCTTTAAAAATACCCTGATGCCCAGGTTAGCCTCATGCCAATTAAATCAGAATGACTTTGGGAACCATGCTGGCAGTGTGTTCAGAGATCCCCAGGTGATTCTAATGAGCATCAAAGTTTGCGAAGCATTATGATACACCTTTTTGCAGCTCCTTAATATTTATAGATAGGATTGGTAAAAGTACCTATCTCGTGTGGTTTTTCTGTGGATTAAAATGGAAAATATATATATATATATATATATATATATATATATATATATATAACTCTTAACCTAATTTTCTGATATATGATAAGAACTCAGTAAATGGGGGCTCATTATTAGTGATCATATTGTGGTCAGGTGGCCAAAAGTTTAACTTAGAAGTGCTCAGACAGTTTACTCCAATATCTCAGTCAGGAGGTGATTACATGAAAATAAACCTGTAGCTCAGTCTGACCTTTTACCAAAAGCCTTTCAGTCCCTCAGCCCCTACCCTCAGGGGTAGCTCCCGTCATTATAATAGGGTCAAACTCCATGTGCACTTTTGGCATTTCACCATATCTTTAAATAGACTACAAAGATTCATTAACCTGTATTTTTTTCCTGTTTCTCAATAGGAAAATTTCTGGCAATGCCATGCTACAGTTGGGCCCCTTCTTATATTGGACGTTACTGGCCGTATTTGAAGGGACAGTGTTCTTCTTTGGGACTTATTTTCTTTTTCAGACTTCATCCCTAGAAGAAAATGCAAAGGTAAAAAAATGTTATTACCCTTTTGGTATTATAAACATGACTTATGGAAAATCTTTTTTTCCATAGACATTGGATCGATGATACACATATTCTAGCTGTAATCATTTTGCAAATTTTTAAAAGGTACAGTACTTAGTTTTCACAACTTCTTTAGAACAATAGAAGTGTTGAAGTACAAAATTAACTTCCTGTGTGCATTAGAGAGGTTACATGCAAACTTTCTGGAAGCTTAATTTAACTTGGCTGTAATTTTTATTGGATGAACAGAGTTTTTGGGATTTCATACTTTAGACCACTGCACTTTTATGTGACCAAAGAAAGCATTTCCTGTTTCAAAAGCAAAGTCTGGCCCCACTCAGTTCTTATTCATAGTGGCCTTCCATGCTTAGAGTTCAAGGGGGTAACTGCCGTATCTTTAAAATTCCCTTCCGCATGGTGGCGTAGTATTCTCCAGAAAGGCTACACTGTTCCTCCCAGTGCCTTCCCAGCAAGCAACTACATAGGTTAGCACCTGCATTGGGATGATTTTGCCTTGGCTATGCTGTAGGAGAGAATTGCTAATGGGGTGAGGTCTTCCTTCAGCCACACAGGAGAAAAATCAAACCCACCACCCTGCGTGCTGCTTTCACTATGTTTGCTATTTCTGGGCTTCCTCTTTTAAGATCATTCATTTTTTATATTCATAATCGGAAACAAAATTAAGGTTCAGAATGAATTTCCTGAATACAATGACTATGTCTAGAACCTAGGTAGTCATATGTGTTAGGGAATACAGATCTAGTATTTTATAGTAACACGTGCAGCACTTGCCAAGAAGCGGGCCCTACTTCATATCTCTGCATGTCCTTGGGCAAGTCACTTCAGCTTTCCAAGTCAACTTTGCCCATCACTAAAAAGAAGGAATTAGATTTTATGATTTCTCAAGTTTTTAGCTTTATGACTCATTCTGTGACTTTCACTTTTTATGTTACGTTTATTTGGCACATGAATTATATAGACATGACTCTTGCTTTTTAAAAAGTTTGCTGCAAAGTAGGTGGTTACTCTTCCTGCAGTCCTACTGACATGGTTCATTTGCTCAGCAAATTCTTCAGGTGGTGCATGGGGAGTCTCAACATAGCTTATGTCCAATTCATCGCCCCTGTTTGGTTCATGATGTCCAGGTTAATTAGATTTTACTGTATATAGCACCATCCTAAATGTTTGCTAAATTTACAGTACATTTTAAGAACTGCCATCAGCACTTAAACGTAACGCACATGTATGATTTGATCAAGTTCTTTTTTTGCTTCTATTAACCTTAATTTTTTGTTTTTATTTTTTGAAAACCTTTTACATTTCATTTTCTGTTTTAATGTTATGCATTCAGATCTTGACAGCATTTGGCAAGCATATGTGCCATTCATTGCCATTGTTTGGATTTATACATGGTATCTGCTTTTCTTTGATGTGCACATGCTGACAGCTGTAATATTTACAGCCAAAAGACTCTGTTTTAAAAATATGAGTCCATTTGTCTGTAAATTAGTCCTTTTCAGAGCTTCAGTTCTTTATTACAGGAAAAGCCCATATCGATCTCTTTAGCGACAAGTCATGCAATGACTTGTTTTGATGAACATTGCTGTTAGTGGAATGGGATTTTTTTTCTGCCTTTATTATACCAGTGTTTTCCCTGTTTGATGCTGCATGGAATAATGGAAATAAATGCTACTGACCACAAATGTGCTGTACCTGACTAAGAAAATCTAAGGTCACAATAAAATCCAGCATTTTGACCTGATCTTCCCCAAATAATTCACACAAACTTTTTTTGCAGTTATACACAAGATTAAACTTGGCTTTTATTTTTTTTTAAGCAGGCTTGTGTGTTGTTAGTACATGTAATTATAAATTTTTTTTCAGGTCTATGGAAACTGGACTTTTGGAACCATTGTTTTTACAGTCTTAGTATTCACTGTAACTCTGAAGGTTAGATTTTCATTTATTCAACTATATTTAACACCATTTTTTATAATACGTTCTGGTCTTTCACTAACATGTCTTTTTTGTCTTCTAAGCTTTATTTTTATTATGGGTTGTCATCCAAATCTGAATGCTTGCTAAAATATGTATGATACTGGAGATTTAGGCATTTGTATACTATTTGTAAATCATTTTTTTTACTGTATATTGTCTCTCCTCTTTATTTGTTTTTTTTTTTAATTCATACGTTATACTTGTGTCAGAAATCTGTTCCTTCTTTCCAGCTATTTTCAAGATATTATAAGTGGTATATAATCAGACTGTGAGAGAGTGTGTGTATGTGTGTGTGTATGTTACCATGTTAAGTACTTAAATATTTCTGAAACTTATATATTTCTTTAAGAACACCAGGCCTTAAATGAATTTGGGTACTTAAGACAGTTCAGCAAAATATGTATGCAGAAGAGCTTGGTAGTGATTAAATTTTAGATAATGTATTCATCACTGAAATTTACCTGTATTCATGATCAAATGTGTAAAAATATATAGCAGGTAACATACAAGGGTAGTTTTGGCAAAATCTTTGGCAGTCACGTAATAATGGCTCTGAAGCCTTGATGAATGCTACCCTTGAGGCTCATGAGTTGAGGCTCTCTTATAGTTGAAAACAGAATCAAATTCTTTTGATCATTGCAGTAATAAACACCTCACATGAGGTCTAAGAATGAGTTCCCTTAAATGAATTCCAGTACACCCAGTGGTCAGAACTAGAATTCAGAAGTATAATTGACAATAGATTTCTAAACAATCCCCCTCTAAAATTTTATTCCTGGTTAATTTCTTAACACCATAAAGAACTAGCATATGTTTGCATCTACTATTACAGCAATATTTTAGGACTACCAAAAATGTTACAATTCATCTCAGTTTGCTACTTATTAGTGGATTATATATAACCTTGGGTTTCTTAGTACTTCCATTTCCTCTTCTATAAGATGGAGATTAAACTAGCACCTAGCTCTTTTAGCATTTGTGTGTATGTGTGTGTGAGAAGTCAATTAGTGATACACATAAAGCACTTAGAATGGAGTCTGACACATAGAATATGGTCAGTACAATAAATGCTAGTTGTTATTTATTACTATGTTTTACAGGCTCATGATTTTAAATAGAAGCCTCGCCACCCTTTCCCCCCCAGCCTTGTGTATGGCCCCAGGGCTTCCAGGGGCCTTTCATAGTTAAAGTTGGCCTTACCGCAACATCTTTCATTGAGTCCCTCAGAAGACATCCACTCCCTGTTCTTTGGATGGATATTATTGTGACATTTTCCCCTAGCAGCCTAGAGGGTGAGGATGCAAGGCTGGGCTACATTAACAATGTTATCAACATCCTGTTTATGAATGAGGAACTGTATCAGAGAGCTGAGGAACACGGTGTCACAGCAAGTACCAAAACTGAGATACTACCTCCTCTTTGATCATTTAATGCCCTGGATATTAATTCACATGACCCAGAAATTATAAGCAAGCGAAGCAGACCATACTCTCTTGCTTTTATATTGCATTTGAAAATATCGACCCTGTCAGGAACATGAAGGGATTAAAATCTAAGACAAATGAAAATGTTAATTTAATTGCTAGATAAGGGTTTTTGCAGTTGAAAGGCACACTGCATAGTCAGACCCATGATCCATTGCTACATGAGTCAGATGTATAGAGCCAGTTTCCTTTGTATTTAGTTACTCCCATCTGTTGTGTATGAGTTATCAATACTCTTTTTGTAGTTTGTTCACCCTTCCTAGTTACCCTTCCCTCTTCTGCTTTTCAGTATACCTGCCTCCATGAGCTAGGGTTTCTCCTCTTGCTAGCATCTCCCTGGCCACCACTACCTGAGGACTTGGGGCTCCAGACTCCTACATGTTACCATTACCTTATTCTTCATCCTTCCTTTACTAGTGAGACATCTGTAACCCCATACCTGCTAGCTCCTTGCTTGACCACATCTCCATACCTGTATTCTAGAGTCTAGAGGACTTAGGGCAGAGTTCAGCTCTTTCCTACCCTAGCTTTTCGAAAAGCCTGGACTCTGTCCCCATTTTAGTTCCAATCCCTTCTGGAAGCCTGGCCCAAGCTAGGTCCTCCTGTAGGTATCATATTGTATACAAGTTACCAAATACCATAGTGCATTACTACCTGGTATAAGTCATACCCATCGTGAAATCTCTTGTGTTGTATCTTTTCAGCTTGCCTTGGATACTCATTTCTGGACGTGGATAAATCACTTTGTGATTTGGGGTTCTTTAGCCTTTTATGTATTTTTCTCATTCTTCTGGGGAGGAATTATTTGGTAAGCAGTTGTATATGTGTGAGTGATATGTAAATAACAAAATAAGTATATGTATATACATGATATATGCAAATATTATACTTTTAAAAGTTTTTATTATATAAGATGGCAAATATTCAATATAAATGGACTGGAAGTTACTTCTAATGAATAATACTGCTAATTTCAGTGAGATTTCAAATATAAGTATGTAGACTGCGTGAGTTACTCAAAAAACCTCTCTTCTGGTAGCCTCTGCCCAAATCTTTCAACTTGAAAGTGTGTAAACATCTCTCTATGAAGTGAAAGTGCAGTTTCTAGCATGACATAACATTTGATTTCTTGTGGAAATACTCATCGTGTAAAGTTTCTAAACAGTATAGTGGCTGATAGGTACATTATTATCTATTTGACCCGTATTCTGTCTTTATGGTATAGAGCTGTCATTCATGTCACTACAGAGGTGTTCAAGGTATAGAATATATACCACTTAATACTCAGAGGGTTATATCTTAAAATCGCTCTTTCATTGTTTTGGAGGGTAAAGGCAGAATGTACAGCTTGGCCTTAAAATTCATTCAGTTCATTTTGGTTTTAATATACATGTATTCAGGATTTATTTTGTGCAAGATAATCTATGGGATACAAAGACATAGACTGCATCCCTGCCTCAAGGAAATTAGAGTCCATTGAGAGACACATAGCTATGATTGGGAGAGTTATAAGAAATGAAAAGTAAGTTAGATTTTCAGCTCTTTTCTTTACCCACAACATGGAGGTTAGAGACACCAAACCATAGGCCCCCTACCATTTCTTGCACAGTTGAAAATCCACGTGCAATATTTTGACTCAAAAAATTTTAAAACTACAGTCATTCCTTGTTATCCTTGGTTCCTTAGTATTCACTGGGGATTTACTTCAGGACCCTACAGATACCAAAATTCGTGGATGCTCAAGTCCCTTATATAAAATAGTATAAAACAATGCAGTCAGCCCTCTACATTCGTGGCTTTCCAACCACAGATCAAAAATAATGTTTTCCATATGCATTTGGTTGAATCCGTGTATATGAAACTGCAGATACATAGGGCCAACTGTATATTTACCCATGTGTTCAAGGGCCATCTGTATTTTTTTAATATTACAATTGTTTTCATTAATCAGTGGCTTCCCCTGATAAGGATGCCAGCAGCAGAAAGCATGGCTAGAGTAAACCATAAAGATTCCAGGAGTCCATATTTTCACTGGTTCGAGCAAAATCATACATGCAAAATATTCCATGTTACCAGAGATGCGAGGACCATGTTTATGTCCCTTGAGACTTAATTGGAAGAAACTAATATTGTTTCAAAAAACTTTTTAAAATAAAAGCCTTAATAAATAAAAAATATGAAAAAATTAATCACTTAAGGAAGTACTGCTCCAAAAAGTGTAATTAGAGCATATATTTGGCAGCTGTATAGATAATTATTGAAGCAGTAAAGCTGAAGGAAGCCTCTATTTCCTTTAATAATACACACATGAATCAAAGGTGATTAACCAAATATAATATGCAATTGTAGTTCAGCCACAGTACCATAATTAATTCTATGAATCTAACTCTTACCATAGACTATTCCTTATTAATGTAAATAAATCCTTTAAGTGATTGACATCGTCATACCTATTTGAATTCATTAGAGATACTTCCTGAAAATAAAGTATTAATCTTTATTTCGTTGCCTGTAGTGTTGTCTTTAAGTAGAAGTGAGTTGAGCTACTATATGAATATACAATTTATACTATAAAGCAACCAGCAAAATGTGACTAGAAGCCATCTTCAGGTGAATGCTGGTTGCAGCTACTATCTCTGGACATGTTCAATCCTGAGACATTATTACATACTCCTCTTTGGAAATGGTCAGTGAGAATGATGATTTCTGAGCTCCAAACCTAATCCCATAATATCTTCTGTTTTTACTAGTCCCCTGCAAAGCTCTATAGACACCATCAAGGTTAAAAAAGAAAAAAGGAAAGGAAAAAGAAAAATACAGAGATATTAATCACAGAGTATTGTGGGTACTATGCAAAGGAATACCCTGTGACGAGCTATCACTTGTCTGCTGAACCCTTTGGCTCAATTAACTAACTGCCTAGAAAATTAGTCAGGGTGCTTTTCAAAACTAGAAATATAATGGGTAGAGTTCTAAAGATGTTTTTTTCTGAATGGTAGGGACCCTAGAAACCAGTTTTTCCCAAACCTCTTAAGTTCCTCCACCTCACTGTTCTTATTTTTTTATTTTAATCCTCACCTGAGTATATATTTACTGATTTTAGGGAGAGAGGAAGAGAAAGAGAAATCGATGTGAGAAACATCAATCAATCAGCTGACTCCCATGCATGCCCCAACCAGGGATCAAACCCACAACCTAGTTATGTGCCCTGACCAGGAATGAAATCCATAATGTTTTGGCGTATGGAAAGACACTCCAACCAACTGAGCCACATGGGCTAGGGCTATTCTCACTTTTTATCCTTCAGTCTGGTCCTCATATATGTAGAGCTACAAGCTTGTTTTTATCATGTTATATAAGAGTGCACAAACATCAATTTTTAAATGAGAACCAAGTTTATTTTCAGCGAGCACTATGTGTGATCTAGTAAATGGGAACAACCAGTTGTCTGCCTAGGGCTCCTAATCCAAGGATAGTGTGATGTGAATCCCGACCTAGACCAGTGTCTCTCTGGTTCAGTTCAGGCAGGGGAAGAAAACCTGTTTATGCTTCTACATAGCCACCTAACAGTAGTTCATTGGATGACTTGGAATGAAATCCAACATCAGAATGAGAAGTCATCCTGGATTTCTGAACTCCAAGGTTTAACGTCATATTAGCAATATTCTGCTATCTATCAAGCAATTTGGCACACACTAGTACTCAATATATATTTGTGGTAGAGTCTTTCCATTTGAAAGAGATAAGCTCTACAGGGTGTTTTTTGTTTTTTTTTTTTTTGTATTTATATAGGGATTTGAGGGGGTTATAAAAATATCTTTTAAATTTGGAATATAGAGCACAAATCCACTCTCATATTAATAAAACAACCAACAAAATAAAATGTTATTTAGCATAAAAATCAGCCATCATTTTTCTTGCATATCTTTGGAGCCCTAACATTTTCTAATGTAAATAAGTATTTTCCAGTTGGCAGCTCTAAAGTTGATTGCTTAGTTGTTTTAAAGTCAAGTGCATTTGCCCTGGCTGCGTGGCTCAGTTGGTTAGAGTATCGTGCCATACACCAAAAGGTTGTGGGTTCAATCACCCATCTGGGCGCATATGGGAGGCAACCGATCAATGTTTCTCTCTCGCATCAATGTTTCCTCTCTCTCTCCTTTCCTCTCTCTAAAATCAATAACCATATTTTTAAAAATTAAAAAAGTATATTTTATCATCTTTTTCTTTTTATTATCATTTCAAACATTTGATAAATGAAACCAGTTCACTACTTTTGGAATGTCCTAAAGACAATTATTTTTATTAATGTAAATAAGGAAAATTCCTTTTAAATACAAAAGACAGTTTCAATTACACTTCTGTTTCATGTGACATGAACTGATTTGTTTTTCCATTATGTATTTTCTTTCCACTCTAGGCCTTTTCTCAAACAACAGAGAATGTATTTTGTATTTGCTCAAATGCTGTCTTCTGTATCCACATGGTTGGCCATAGTTCTTCTAATATTTATCAGCCTTTTCCCTGAGATTCTCCTGATAGTATTAAAGAATGTAAGAAGAAGAAGCACCAGGGTAAGAACTAACTTTATATTACAACCTGATTTTTGGAAGGAGCTTCAATATCTGCCGTGAACTAAAAGCCTTGTTTAGAGAATTGCATTAGTTACAGCATGTTAAACCCCTCCTTACAGGTTCATCACTTAATTTCCTCTTCTGCATAAAAAGTATAGTAAAAACTTCGTTATCCAATACAGGTGGTAAGTAGATTCCTTAATAGTATTCTATGTGACCTTTAGCAATCCATATGGAGTATCGATCGCATATGCTCCATATGGAATTTTAAATGGAAAAATAAATGTTTTTCTTTAGCCTAGAATGTTCACACCAGGAATTTCCACACCAACATTCCAGCTTTAACCTTAGAAATTTCCCTGTGGGTTGTGTGCAGATTTTTTTCAGTCGATAATCCCAATTTGCCTCTTCAAAACCTTTCCCCTTCCTTTAATTATAGTGCTGCTTAATCTCTGAGTTGCTTCTAGCCCTGTCTGTCCAGAGTATAATCGAACCCAAGAAAATTCCCTGGATGTGGTTTCTACATCCTTACCCTCCTGGACACACTTGTAAAAATTCAAGATGGTTTTATAAGTGTGTTTTTATTATTGCTGCTTAAATTGTAAATGTTTCTGCGGGAATGAGAAGGTATCGCCCTCTGTTAGCCTCATCACTTGGCCTCTGCATTGTCTGATATTTTTGGAACATTTATGTAAAAGCCTTTAAAGTGAAACAGGTAGATTACCCTGGAACACAAAAAAAACTTCTGGAAAATTTTGACCAACACGTTAATTAAGTATGTCATTCCAGCCAACACTAGTTCATTTTACCAAACAAAACCATGTTTCGATCGCGTTGACACCAACTAGATCTTGTATACCCTCCAAGGCAACATTTTTAGGAAATAGTCTAAGCTATATCTACCTGACCTATTTGATCACATTTCTGAACCAGTTTAGCCACAATATTGGTTGGTTGGTTGGTTGGTTTTTTCCCTATTGAATTGATAGAATCCAGTGGTTATCATCGTGCAGACATGGGGAACTAAAACAATTATAGTGGGAATATCTGCAGTGATTAGATATATAAAATAGGCATATCATTGATACAAGTTAGTATAGGCCCCCATCAAATAGACTATCAGTGGCATAAGCCAAATTGATTCTTGCTATAGAAAGCCCATCAGTGCACAGTTTAGTGGTTAGAACTGTCCTTAAGTCCCCGCTTCTGCATGCCTTATGCAGAACTAGACACAATAAAGTTAACCTAGCCAAGACTTCCTTAGTCTACTCTTTAATCTTTCCAGTAGACTCCCAACTAACTCCCTTTAGCGTGGTGTTTAGTCTGAGGATGGCAAAGTGACATTTACTTGTCTGATTATATTTTAATATCAGTTGAGCAGAGGTAAAACAAGTTCCTCCCAGAATGGCTCAAGTGGCAATTTGCATAAAGCCAAATAAAAAATGTCACAGTAAAAAATGGTTTGGTACCTTATTATAATAAAGAATTTGTCTTGGAAGGATCTCTGAGGTGTTCTTCCATTCTCCGTATTTGGGAGTACACTTTGGGGTGGTCCTAAATGTTTTTCTCATTAGGGGTAATGGAGTTCGTACTAAATAATGGCTTGCACCCAGCTTCATGCTCTAAAGATAATACAAGAATCTCAGAAATCAGTACCTTCAAACATATCTTATCCCCTTTCTTAGGCCCTTTCTTTTAAAAAAAATACTTAGGTGGTAAGAGCTATTAACAGACATGAAAAAATTCGGTACTGGCTAAAGGTGACTTTTACATAAATTAAATGATTATTAAATGGAAGGATGCTACAAAGCAGTCACAGATAAAGACTAGAACATTCCTAATTTCTGTTGAAAGCAGTTCTGGGACTGCAGCCCTTTTTACATTAGCAAGTATAGAATGTTGCAAGGGGTTCAGTATGAGATTTGTCTGTCATGGGTTATGTACATTATAGGAAGAAATCTAGTGTCTGTGCTATAGCTTGGCATGCTGATGTGCTAGAACAACGAGGAGAATTTCCATAATCACCTTCATGCATTCAATCATTCATTCATTTATACCTACCCTCATTGAACCAATGAACATGTTGAACCGCCTAATGATGAACATCTCTCTTTATAACCAGTGTCTGAAAGGCTAAATGGTTTTTCAGGCTCTATGTGATTTTGAGAGTTGCAGATGAGACAGAACATTGTAGGCACTCAGCAGTGCTGCCACTTTTTTTTCTTTTTTCATTTTTTTGCCATTTTTTTCTCTTGTGGGAAAATGCAAGAGTAAAGTAGTGAACACGAATGCATAAAGGCCAACTAAAACATCACAGCCATGGGTATTCTGGTAAGTCACATATTTCCATAAGGCCCTATTTGGCTGTATCAAAGAAGCAGAGGCCACTTCTAAGATAAAGGAGAAAGAATATCTTAATGACCAATAATCTGACATCCTGAGTGACTTCCTACTTTGTTCAGCATCCCTTGCTAAGGCATTGGCCTTATTTTAAAGAGAGGCAAAATATTCTTTCCCACTTGGTTGGCCCCTTACCTGAGAGGCTCCCTAATATGAGAAAGGATATGTCCCTACCTAGAAGTAGAAGATCCCCTGGCCACCAACTAGTAAGCATCTTGGATACTTTGTACACATTGCCAGAAATGCCTATGGCAAGTAAGCTCCCAGTGCTATTCTCACATGCGTCTTGGCTGCCTCTCTGAGAAGGGAATTTAGCAGCAGGTACTGAAATGTCTCTGTGGGCTTTGAGAAAGAAGCTATGCCATTTACATGTAACAATTACAGAAGTCACCTTCTGGTGACTCCTGTTCAATTCATCCCATATTCCCTGACGGTCCACTATAAATTAGCCACTGTACCAGGTGTTGCTAATTCAGGGATAAATCAGATGAGGCCCCAGCTCATAAGGAGTCTCACTCTAGTTAAGTTATAAAGGGAATTCATATGATATAAATCAGAATAGTAGACTCAATGATGTGGCTTGTTTTAAGACAACTGAGGTATTTCAGTGTCTGAGTCACTATCTCCTGAAGCCTCCAGTAAAAAGGCTTGTGTAATGGCCTCTACCACAGCCAAGTTCTGTTATGGCAGTAGCATTATAAAGAATTCTATCTTCAAAAAGGTGAGGGGATTAAGAAGTACAAATAGGTAGTTACAGAAAAGTCAGGGGATGTAAAGTACAGCATAAGGAATATAGTCAATGATATTGTAATAACTGTGTAGCCAGGTGAGTACCAGATTTATCAGGGTGATCACTTTGTGAGTTATATGAATGTCTAATCATTGGGTTGTATAGCTGAAACTAATTGAGTATTGTATAGTAACTATAACTGAAAAAATTTGTTAAATTTAATTTTTAAAAGGTGTAGGGAAAAAGGAATTCTGCTATCTTCAGATATAAATTCCCTCAGTCATTTAACTCAGCGGTATGGTTAAGCTATATATTCCTCAGCTATATTTTCAGCAATGTGCTTAATTATTTTTTTAAATTTCTAAATACGTTTATTGATTTTAGAGAGCAAGGAAGAGAAAGACAGAAAGAGAGGAACATCAGTGCAAGAGAGCAGCATCGATTGGCTGCGTCCTGTATGCACCCCAGCTGGGGATCAAACCCGCAACCTAGGTGTGTGCCCTGACTAGCAATCAAACCCCAACCTTTTGGTGCATGGGATGACGCTCCAACCATCTGAGCCACACCTGCCAGGGCACAGTGTACATAATTTTTGAGCTAAGATTCCATCATTAAGAATCATAGGGCTTTTCTGTAGCTTATAAATTGACAGAGCTGCACTGCCATACTGCTGACAGTGTATGGTGAAATTTCAAAGGAAATTTAAAGTTTAGGATTTTTGATATTTCAAAAGTTGTGTTTCCCTCTGAGCACAATTGTTGGGCTATTTCTCAATCAGTGAAATATATCAAGACTTTCTGGCCAAGTAGTAAATGCCACTTCCCCATTACCAGTGGAAGAATTTTCCACGTATCTTTATGTAAGTTTTCCCATGTAAACCACAACAATAAAAAGGGAGACTTGACTTTGCCTATTAGAGATAGGAACACTATAATCCAGTGGGAAGGGACCCAGCGATATGGCAATGCCTAGCATGGGATGTCTGCACAAACATGAAGAAATATTCCATTATGCAGGGAGCTCTTTCAGAGTGGAAGACAAGGAAGAATGTCAGCTGTCTGAGCAAAATTCCCAGAGAAAGCGCTTTGAAAATTTTGGAAAATGCAATTTATCCTTCTAATAACAATGGCGACAATCATTATTACTATTGAAATGCTGACAGTTACCTACAACCATGTTCTGAGGATAATAGTCCTGTGAACTGGATTAGACGAAAATAAAGGTGAATTCTAACGTTGTGGCTGTTGAGATGGATCTTTATGCATTGGCCTCTTTGACATAATGCTGGCTGAGCTGGTGTCAAAACTCTCTAGATGACTGCAAAGGAATGTGGAAATTTCATACTGTTTTAGCTCATTATCTCCCTCCCTCTGCCAGCTATATCAATTTTTGATTGCTTTACATACTCTTTCCATGCTTTCTGCTGCCATCTATACTTTCATATTTCCTTTTTTTCCTGGATAAAGTAACATAATCTATAAACCCCTAAAATTTATGCTTCATAGAAATATTATCTTCGATGGTTGGATACAAGGTTTTGAGTGTACCAAAATGTGCTTGTCGTTGCAGTCTTAAATAGGTAAGCTGTATAGTAAACATGAGGATGGGGAACTTTATCATGGTGTGCGCCCACAAAATAGAAGACAAAGCAATTTTCAAAATTTTTTTATAAACTAAATATTTCTCTAGCTTCATTTGTAATTTGCATGTTACCAACATGTCCCCAACTTTCTTTAAGGTAAAATATTAATAGGGAAAAAACATAGTACTGTTAAAACATGAATAAATCAAAGTATTTGCCTTTAAATGTTTGTTTATTGGACTCTACTGGATATATATATTACTTTAACTGGTTTCTTTTTTTTTAAGCCTATTTTCTTTAGTCACTAAGTAGATAATATGTGTAAGTAATTAGCAGCATTGTTAAACTTATTCCCATAGTCAACCACTCATCTTCTGTTTTACTTGGGGAATGCCAAAACCAAGTTTGTAAATTAGCTTTTAATTTCAGGCACAGAATAAGAAGGAAAAACATAATTTGTTTGGTTTTCTGATTAAACTTCATCAATGTTTACTTTTCTCTGGGTGTTTTAAAGGAAAAATGTATAGCTCCTTAGCCTACCCTTTTGAAGAGATCTCTGTAAGAAAAAGGAGGAAACCCATCACATTATGTTATAATAAAGGTAGTCAAGCACTGGCTCAGAGGTAAATGGGACTAAAGTGTGGTTTCACCAAATGTTTTCCCATTGTGTTAGTTTTGAGTAGGTTTTTAACCTGCAGCTGCTCAAGAGCAGTCAGTCCCTTCCTATGGTGTGCAGTTGGATAGGGGAAATAGTCTCTTCAAGGTAGATTGATGATGGACCTTGTACATAGCTGCCTAATCAATGGGTTTTGAACAATGGATTAAGAACTAGTAAATTGAAGATTAGAGATAAGCTTTATTTCAATGAGAAGCATATTTTTAAATTATTTTATTCAAAATAGTCAATTTACCCATTAACAAATAATTTTAAATTGATATTCAGAGAAATAGTAGTTTGCACATATAATAGACTTCCTAATTCTGACTTCTACTTTTACTTGAGAAAGTAATGTCTTCAAAGATAACATGTCATTTTGACTTCAAATTCTCAAGGTTTCTTTTTAAATGTCTTACATTTCAGAGGATATTTACTTTTTTTTTTGTTTGTTTTGGTTTCTGCATTTCTCTTTGTTCTACTGCAATTTTCCACCTTTTGTGCAATTGTGAACAAGGTAACGAAACGCCTCCCTTCCTCAGGAACATCTACTATCTTCATGCTTTCTCAAACTTCCAGCAATCACAGTTTCTCTTGGAGTGAATAAGGTGATTTCCTTTCTTAATGTACCAACTTGCCTGCATTCTCATCTGCTTGACACCATTTTCTGATGATGAGGAATTACTTCTCATGACTCATTTTTATATCCTCTATTGATACTTAAGAGTATTTTGTCATTTTTCTTTGATCATTTGTTCATCTTCTGAAATTGTCACACTGGAGAGGAAATTATGCTCAAAAACTTGGACAGTAAGTGTCTGGTCCCATTGATTCCTAGTATGCAGTAGAAGCCACAGCATGTTAGAGCTAATCTGTTCACCAAGACAGGAATGTTTTGCGCAAATTTCTCTTTGTTCGATACACTGACAGCACTGCCACAACTCTCAGAGGTGTTCACCAAAAGGATGGCGTGGTTTACTAATCAGACCATATTGACTCATCTACCACTTAACCTACCAGTGTCATTCCAAAAACCCAAGTTTGGCACATACTACTAATGTCTGTATACTTCTACCATGAGAACAATTCAAGCTGGAGACTTCCTGGGTCTTTAAATGTATTCATTTAAATGTTGTGCATTTGCTATAGCGTGATCGTTTGTTCTTTTAGCCAGAAGAGTAGTCTATAGAAAATGATTTTTTTCTTCTACATTTTTATCACCAGGTAGGTTAACCAGTCTTCAAACCCTTTTAAGTATCTTTACCTCACTATTACAGAGAAATCTGAGCCGTAAAAAGGCATCTGACTCATTATCCGCCAGACCTTCAGTCAGACCACTTCTTTTACGAACATTCTCAGACGAATCTAATATATTGTAACAGGTACCTAGTGTTAAGTGGGCTGGCTTTAAAGAAAAAGATTAACAGCATTATAAAGAAAAAATGAAAATACCACTCTCTAAATTTTTTCTGCTGTTGGTGTGGTGAACTTTATACTATTCTTTGCCAAAATATAAAGATGCATTACTTGGAATATGGAGAAATTTGTATTTTAAATTTGCTAACCCCCAAATAAAATTTTCAGCATTTTTCAGAGCTGAAGGGTAATGCAATATGCAATATATTTAATTTGTAAGGGACAAGAAGTCACGTCAGTACCATCATGTGAATCATGTGAAAATGCTCATTAATACTGATCAAGAAGCATAATTTTGATGTTTAAATGTCATTTGGAAAATTGAAAATAAATATTCCAAAACTGCATCTGTATAATAATCAAATCAGTTTAGCACTGCATGTTCTTTTGGGAATTATGTGAAAATAATTTAGTGTGTTTGTACCTCCATGTGCTGTGTCTGTGTGTTTGCAGGTTTAAACTTAATGTCCTTGTAAATGTCTGATCCCCAAATACATATTAATGAGCCAGTCTACTCTAATCACTTTTAATGTCAAGTTTTATTCAAGCTAAATGTTTCAACTTTCAGAGGTAAAATCTTTCCTAGCCATTCAGGGGGGTGCTAGCCTAATTCCATACACTCTTTCATAATTAATTTTTCCAAAAAATGAAGAAATTTCATTTGCCAACAAAAAATATTTGAGAGGAATTAATATGCTATGGGAGGAATCCTTAAATGCAGAATGACTCCTCCGTGTGTATTCTGTTTCCCACTGCTTGGCCTCTGTTACCCTAGACCTTTGTAGGTCCTTTATCCCTTACTGGGAATTTAGAGTAATTCATGAATGAGGTTTCCAAGCTTGTCATCCTGGAAACAACTCTATACAGCTTAGGGCAGGGCTGTCTTTCCTGCACACAGAAACATTAATGATTATCATGAAAGAAATTGTAGGTCAGTTCATTTTGAGGTTGTGAGTCCACCTCATAGGTCCACTCTTCTGCTGGCTGTCAACTTCTCAATGTTCCAGCAAAGAATAGATTGAACTAATGGATTGATCCCATTGGTTCTCCTATCTCCTACGGTTCATCACAGTCTGCATCTCATGTGTTATTTTGGAAGCTGACTTATTTTGCCTCCGTCAGCATCCCCGCACTCCCCCTTTTGAGCAGCTCACCTGCTTATATTTCCCCTCAGTGATGAATCTGCTTCCAAGTAGCATTCAAAGTCTTTGACTCTTTTGTCCCAGATAGCCTTGTCCTAAGCTGTGTGGTGCATTTTAGCTATATTGTTTCCACTTAATTTTGTATCCCCCTGGATTGCTTTCTTTAGCTTGTTCTGTGGTTTGGGGGACTAGGCTGGGTCGCAGACCCTACTACTGCTTTTGGGCTCTCCAGGGTCTTAACTCTTACAATGCATAATAGAGAGCTAAGGAAGTTGTGCTTTTTAGTATACTTATTTCTTCCAGGAATATACATTCACTTGGCATTAGTTCTCCAAGGAAAATATTTGGCAATTAATTTAGCCCCACCGAGTTTGTCACTTGATAAGGTAACTGTGTGACAGTGGCAACCTATTTTCGTTAGTCACCATGACCCTGCTGTCTGGAAAACTAATGTGAGAGTGTGGAGCATAAAAAGGAATGGAAGGTACTCTGGAGGACTTCCAGTCCAACCACAGCAAGGAAAGTGCGCCAAAATGGGAAGAACATAGCACATCCCTTTAAAGCCTTCCACTACTCTGGTTTAAAAAGGTTGGATTTTAGAGTAGAGAATCAAAGTTAGGCTCCCTCCCTCAACACACAACTTCTTCTTTTCAACATACCTGATTTAATCAGGGATCCACTGGCATATCATGCCCCATCCCGATCATAGCATTTGATAATATTTGGAGGACAGAAAAGAATCTACAGTTTTTTAAGGGAAATGTCTGTTTTCTTTTCTTAAAAGGTAATGATTAAGAAAAACAGAAGAGTCCATTGACCCTTAGATACGTGACCTACCAACAAGAAAATTAACTTCAATATTATGGAGAGCAATCATGTTTCTTTCAATAAAGGAAAAATACTTTCACAACAGCCTTTCAAAACAATACATCTTCAGACATTCTCTGTCAAAATGTACACATTCAAAAAACAGTAATTGGTACATTCACTCAGCATGTCCTGAGAATCGGCTATGTGCCCGACCATGTGCTAGGCACTGTAGATAGAAAGAAAGAAAATGTCCCTGTTTTCAAGGAGCTCACAGACTAGAGGAAGGGATGTACTGTGGTGCATAGTTCTAGTGGCAACAACTATTAGGAGAACCCTGGAGCAATCCAAAAGCAGAAAGCAAGTCTGAATCTTACTCTCCTGACAAATGACGAAATGATTAAAAACTGGTGATTGTGTCACTCTTTCTTTTTCCCTGCATGTGAATAAAACTTGGCACTTTGTTAAGACAGTTGCTTTACTCCTGTAACAAGATTTACTACTTGATTTATTGTTTTAAATGCTATACAGACGGTTTCACATTATTCGTATTAAAATAAACCTTTTAACTCTGTATATTTTACATTTTTCAGAATCAGAATCTTGAACTACCTATGTTATTGTCCTACAAGCATATTGACAATGGTTACAGCTAAGAAAGAAAGCATGAAGAAACAACTACAAAAAGTTACCATCTCAGGATACTCGATATGCAGCAAACTAAACCAGTCTCTTATGTCTAGAGTTCAGAATAAATGTCCATTAAAATACCAAATGACTATCATAATCATTTACAGTTATTGTAAGTAGCCATTATGGCCAAAGCTCTAAGTTATGAATTATATGAAAGTTGAAAGTATGAATATTTAGAATTTCTGGCTTTAAATAGAATAATATAACTTACCAAATGGGTGCTCTTTTAACCCATGAAATTTGTAAATGGATTTTAATACAATAGTATAAAATAGAAGTCATGCAATGGGAATGAATAGATTTTGCTAATATTTCCTTTTTTGCCTGGCGGAAGAAATTGGCTGTTTGGATCACATTTCTTGTTCCTGCTGAATGATAATCTTAAATTATTTTTTCAACTTACACAAGGAATACTTGAAAATATAAGAAGGCTAAATGATGATATCAATGCATCACGTAGAATAATTAATCCTTTCTGTTTACCCACATGCTAAGTTTGTCTGGATGGAATATCTTTGCCAGAAAAATACCTTGAACACTTACGTGGAAATAATGTTAATTCTGGATGTTTTTGTGAGAATCCAAAAAATGTATTTTATTTTCATTCTTCTGAATAAACCCCATTTAATGGGTGTGTGGCTACTAGATTTGCAAATAAAACATTTCAATCACTTAGTAACCCCTGGAAATAGTTATAACAGATTTTTCCCACATTACTTGCACTGGGATGAGGTAAGGTAAGCAAAACCATTGTTACATAAAAGTGAAGGTCATTCTGAACATCAGTCTTTCATGACTTTTTGTAGGGAGAATGTAAGTAGCCCCTTTCAGACTTAATTTCAGGTTTTAATTTGAAAGAGGCTACATTTGTGCATATGTTCAGGACTGTTTTGCGTTGCCAATTTGGGAGGGAAGAATCCATCCCAAGACGGTGGGTTTCAGCCTGCAGAGCCATAATTCTAGACACAAATGTTGTCTCTCTTAGCAAACTTGGCTGGGTAGTGGTCTAATTCTAAACCGTGAGGTTCACCTTGGGAAAGTCCTTGACTTACTGGACTAGAAGGAGGTTTTAGCCTCTTAATGAGTTCACTTAAATCATAAAAATAAATGTGAAATGTCATTATTACATGTTAACATTAAAAGTACTTTTTTGGGGATATCAGTGACATTTGACTACTAGATTGAAATGGTCTTTTAAAAAGTGTTTTCGTACCAGTTTCCATTTTTGGTTGCCTCTACTGTTACTAGTGTTTATATTGTACCTTTTTGGAAAAGTATTAGGTTCAGTCTGTACCACTATCTTTATATAGTCCATATGGCACATTTGATTCTTCCATATGTAGTTTGTATTAATGTTTAGGGGTAACTTTTCTTAAATTTTAGGAGGACATAATTACACTTAATCAGAACCATTTCATCATTACTGACCCATTTTCATTATTGCATTTGTTCTCATCTCTCAGTATTATTTTTGAGTATTTTGTTTGGTGTCATTCACACCTTACCTAAGTATTCTGTGCTCTGGTAGCCTGTATCTGAGGCAGGGTGCTGACAACAAAGTCTATATATTCTTTGCCTATTCCAAAGAGCTAAAAAGAGAGACCCAAGAAAGCTTTTGCTGTTTTCTTGTTCTTGTTCTTGTTTTTATTGTTGTCGCTGTATTGTTACTGTTTTATGTAAGAACTATAGGGACTGTGAATACAAATGAGAGAGCCACAGTGGATAAAGAAGGTTGTTTAATGCAGAGCCATTGGAGATTTGACATAATCAGAATATCCATGGGAGTGGAACTATAACTGGTAGCATTTAAAATTTCTTGCAGCCGGCAAGAAAGATGAGTAAGGGGGATGTCACGTCTCAGCTACACATGATACTGCACTTCAGATTCACGATGGCTGTGATGTGTAATATCATGGTTTATGTCCTTTAGGGGACCTGACTCTCCTTTTTGAGAAACATTTTATTAATGAGCTATAAAATGGCTAGTGTGGGGTTAGCAGATGGAACAACTTGAAGTAAGCCATCCAGTATGCCCAGCACTATAATGTAACCACCTTATTTTGTGACAGAGAAAGAGAAAATGTAATAGTAGGATCATATTGCATCATTTGAATAATTTTGAACTATCAAAATGTCCTTGTAATTTCACAGCTGTTGTCCATTGTTTGAGGATGTTATCTACTAAACTGAAAAAATTAATTCCATACCTTCTACATTTACACCAGCAACAGTATGAATGGAAGCGTAAATTTGCAAAATTCATAATAATTTAGTAATGACATTTTTAATAACATGCAGTATATAATTGTGCAGATTTTATGCGTGTTGACAAAATCATTTTTCAGCTTGCAAAATGGGACTGCAATATGACATTTTTCACTTCGGCAATTTTTTTACATCTATGTTGTTGCTTTCTATAATGAATGTGAATGCCATCTTTTATGAATGCAACTTGCCTTTTTCATTACAGAAGTTTTCTTTGATGTAATCAATAAACTTTGGTATGATATGATTGATATTTCAGCCTCTTTTTTGGAAAGATCCGTTTGACATAAAAACAATATGGAAGCGGTTTGGTGATGAGAAATAAGTTTCTCATTTCCGCTTTTCCTCTACAAATCACAAAAGATTGACCATTTCTACATGCATTCAACTGACATTTTAGGGCAGTATCTAATTTGTGGAGGTCATGATATTGGCAGGAGTATTGAATAAGACTGTATCTTGTTACTGCATAGATAAAAGTCCAGCCAAATCAGCAAATACATACTGAAAGTCTACCGCGTGCTTGGCAGTGTACTTACTGCTGCCCGCGCATTGGTAGTGGTGTCGTGGATGGTCTGTGTCTCCATCCCATTGAAATCATTTGATTCTTAAGCAGCCAAAGATGCAGGGATTTTACAGTAGCTTGAAACTTGGTCCCAAATGTGTGTGTACACCTCTCTTTCTCCTCCTTTCCCTCTCTCTGACTTCTCTCCCTCCCCTCCTCCCTTCTCAGACACGAGAGAGTCCCATTTGAAAAACCCTGCTCTCCTTCACTGCTAAGAAACTAAAATGTCTCCACTGTAGCTAGATGTATTACATTTTTACACTTGAGTTTCTTTTTCTGGCCCTTTGTTTTGTTAGGTGGGAAATGGATTGTATTTGAAGGTGAGACCTGAGTTAAAGTTTCAGCTTTGCCACTTTGGGATATTTCCCCCTCAGTCCTCTTTCTTCTCCCCTGTGAAATGGTGTCTTGGGAGTGAGGGGTGGTCAAATGATATAAAGGATCAAAATTGCTTTGTAAAATGTCATTTGTTACTCAGATGAAAGCATCATGTTTATATTGATTGCTTTGTCTTTTCAAATGAATAGTTGTCATTTACCAAATTTTCATAGATTTGTCTTAGATTCTTTCTACCTTCTTAGAATTAGTCTATTGAGGCTTCCTTCCCTTCCCCCAGCCAACCTTGCGGGGAGCTGCCTCAATGCTGAGTCTGCCCAGGATTGGCCAATAAAGTAAGTATTGTGAGGGTCTTGAGTGGTCTGGCCCCTTCAACAAGAAGCACATGCAAAGGTTAGGGGCTGAGGTTATCACTATGGTTATTCAGTGAATGTGTCCATGGCTGAAGTGCTGGATGCATACTAATGAAGCTTGAAGGGCTGAGTTCTCAAAATAGTTGTCAGGAAAAAAGGGGACGGGGGTCTTAATTATTTCACGACATTTTTAAAAATTATTTTGACACATTTTCCCCAGCAACTGATGGAGAAATGAGACGCGGGCTCAGTTTCTGGCACGTGGACCTATTATTGCCAAAGAAATACTGCTGTGTGGATCGAGCAAGTCCTCATTTCATGGGACTTAGGAGCTAGTGCTTGGTGCAGGCCTCTGGCTGCAAGGGACAGTGCACCTTTTGGTGGGCCAGAGTTCCTGCCAGCGACAGGTCTTTAACCCTGGCTCTTTGGGTGGGGAGGGGGCAAAGGATGCTCATGGGTAAATGCCTGCTGCTGCTTTGGTCTCTTCATCAATTTGCAAGGGCCTGTTTCCTACTAGTAAAGTCACTAAATCCTAACCAATAGGGGAGTATTAGCTAACTAATACTAATACCTCCCTATTACTTAGCACATATACCTAAGCCCTATTGTAATGACTTTGCATATATCTACTCCTTTAGTAACCCAGCAACCCTATGACATAGGTGTTAACATTTCATTTCACAGATAAGGGAGTATTCATTTGACAGGTAAGGAAACTGACTCACAAACCAAGGTCACGCAGTTTGAGGCAGATACTGAATCCGGGTATTCTGACCAGAGCTCATGCACTTAACCAGGACACTATTCCCATCATTATACCACCCCTGATGGCATGAATAAACATAAACCATCACGATGTTAATGCAAAACCATTAATATTAACCATGAGAGCATCAGTCAGACCCAAGTTGAGGGATATTCTACAAATTAACTGGCTTGTAAACTTCAAAGTTATCAAGATAATGAAAGATAAAGGCTAAGGAATAGCCACTTAAAGGAAACAGATGACAGAACTACGTGCAGTGTATGACCCTGAGATGCTGAACCAGAAACGACATAAGTGGAATTATTGCTAAACTTTGATATGTACATCATATACAATTATGTGTTATAATTTAGTATCCTGAGATTAGAAATTGTGCTGCGATTATGTATATTACATTTTGGGGAGTCTGAGTGAAAAGTATGTGAGAATTTTTTCTGCTGTTTTTGCAACTGAAGTCTGAAGTTATTTTAAAATTACAGTTTGAAAAGTTAAAACACAATGAAGCATAAAAATAACCTGAGGGAACATTAAATTGAACTGAATGGAGAAGACTGAAATATAAATCGTCAGCTAATACCTGCATAGCACTTTCTGGCATGCATTTATATACCTCATTGAATCTTCACAACAGCCCTACCTGGAGATCATTAAGCTCCAGATTTTTACAGATAAAGACGCGGGATCAGACAGGTTAATTGCCGCTGGTGCAACAGGACTGAACCCCAGGTCTGCCCCACGCGTTTCCCACTACGCCACACTGCAGTTTGTCTGGGGCTTCTAAAGCATGTCCTGCTAGATTCTGGAGTGATTATAAAACAAAACTTAGAGCAGTCATTCCCCTGTGGACCCATCAGGATGCAGTTAGTCTTACTCCAAATCAAACCATAAACAGGAATCCTGTCAACGCTTAGTGATGAGGTGGGTGGCCTCAGAATACCCTAGGGCCAGGTTTTTCCCTTTGGTCTGTAAATGGGGCTTCCCCCCCAAATACTGCTTGTTCAGGTGCCCAGGCAAGTTTTAGCCTACCCCCTCCTCCTGCCATCTGAGTGAGGACACAAGCAGGCTCCTTCAATTTGATTATGAGGCATCAGATTAGTCACCTACCTCTACCCCTGGTATATAAAGTACATACCTAAGGCAAGAACATGGAGATACTGCCAGCACTCCATCTCAAATTATTCTATCCCGGTCCTCTATCAAAATCCGATTGAAATTGTTATTCAGCATTTCACAAACTGGGTTGAGTCCTAGGAAATGTTATTAGGTTTTCTTGAAAAAAAAAAATGAGTTCCCTGGGCAAATAACTTGGGGAAGTTCTGTGTATGAATGTCCCTGTTCGAGAAGTTACAATGCATACTGGAACATTAAAGTCTCTGAGAGATGTAATAGTAAAGAAAGCCATCGGACTTTAACACACTATGTTGCTAACACCGGACTGAGGAACCCATTTTTTGCATCGGACATCACAGCAAATCATTGGAGTACAGTTTTCTGTGGTATTTCACTTTGAAAAACAAAACAATAGCTAAGTTCTCTATACTGGTAACTATATGAATCACACACTCCTCCCCACTCACTTGATGGAGTTCACTTTCATGATCTGAGAAAGATGGAAATACAGTTTTTAAGCCAAAAGCATCAGGCAAAGTCCAAAGTGGAAAACAGACCATCCCATGTATTTAAATTGGAGGGAACTTAATATAGAGAATTGATGAAGTATGTGATGGCAGAGATGAAAAGCCCATTGGGAACTCTATGCAAAGCAGCCCACAGATTAGCAGGAGCGGGAGGCCAGAACCACTGTTCGGCAGGTGGGACAAAGAGGTGGGGGTTCTGGATCCTATGGCCTGGTCACTTGGCAGAAATGGGAATCACTGTGGGTATATCGAGCAGCTGGGGCCACAGAAGCTCAGTCACTGTTGAAGATGCAGCCTGAGACAGAAACACTGGCTTCTCCTGCCCGTCCCCAGGCTTCCAGCCAGTGCCTTCCACTGGCTGCAGGCAGCTAACATGGGAGCCTGGGAAACAGTTTAAAGGGGTCACTTGCCATCCCTACAGTGCAGAGCAGAGCAGTGATGGGTAAGAGATGCCTCTGAGGGAAAACAGGCCCAGAACAGGCACATCTAAGATTTAAGGAGCCAGGCTCAAATCCAATGTTATAACTGAGTGTATATTAAAGATGAAACTGTCAGAAACTAGATTTTAGCCCCTTCATAAACTTCATCCTTTGTATTTCCCATATGAAGAGAATACAGAAAAATGAATCCTAACTCACCTCTGTAATATATTTAGTGTAAGATAGATGATGATTATTTATGGATGCATATATTAATGGAAGTAGAGGCACTTGTATAACACCACCTTCTTAATTAGTAATAAAGACACTTAAGCATTACAAAAGTTGGAGATAAATAAAGGAGTAACTGTATCTAGATAAATAAGTTTACCTACATCATATTCAAATTTCAGGAACATATATACCACGTGTTCTTAAATGGATCTTAAATAAAATTCAGGGGAGGTCATTTTGGCCTCAGGCTAGGCCAAATTTTAAATTGCAAATTTGCAAATAATAGATGGCTGTTTTGTCTGCTTTAGACTCTTGTGTTTTTACGGCCTAGAGCCATGCTGGGACCACAGATGATATTTGACAAATATATGTTTAAGTAATGATTATTATTTTATATCTGACTGTTGCCTGAGCCTATTTCTCAACTGGCTTTGAGCTCACAGGGAAGAGAGATGTTACCATATACAGCGGAGAGTGTCCTTCGCATTTCCTTCTTTACCTTCACGTTCAGATAGCCAGTCCTGAGCTCATTATCTTGGCTTTTGTGTTCCAAAAGTACGTCACTATGAAGAATGTAGAAGGTTTGCTGAAAGAGGCAGTCATGGGCAAGGAGTGTCTTGCAATTACAGGATTACAGAGCCTTTCGCCAGGCTGCTGAGGGAGAATTGACAAAGGGGTCTTGGAGCGCAATGAGCAGGCAGGACTTACGCTCTCCTACTAAGCAGCGCCTTCAGGGAAAGAGCAGGAATGGAGAGCTCAACAGGGGGGTGCATCCAGGCAGACAAGGTCCTGGCCAGCCTTGGCAAGAGCCAGGAAGGAGAACTGGCTGTAGGAGACACCGTGTCGATCACAGGAGTGGACCTCTCGGGTGTTAAGAT